AAAAATCTCGATTGACAAATTAGTCGCTATTCTCGACACAGCAATTATAGGACTTGAACAGCGGAACTTGTAACTGAACAAGAAATTGTCTGTTTATAGAATTAAAGAGAAAGTATTAGCACATAAATGAAGCGACTTAAACAACTTACATTGAAAGAATGTTAATAAAGTAAACAAATAAATATTAAGCCTATTTTTTTTTTTTTTTTTTTTTGTAAATTTTGATACCCTTTAGATCAGTGCTCCGCAACCGGTGTGCTGCAATCAAATACATGTATTTGACATTCTGCAATATTTTATCATGTATTTAATACACAATGACAATTTTTTTCCTTAATAAAGTCTATTTTAAATGTTTTTATATATTTCACTGTTGTGTGTGTGATTGTAAGTGTGTCAGCATTTGAATTTTTTTGGCACTTCCTTGATAACTCGGAACTCTTTGGTGTGCCACGAAATTCCAGAAAGATTTTTTGTGCGTCGCAGGTGAGAAAAGGTTGCGGAGCACTGCTTTAGAACATAATTGTTCTTTATTTCATAAATTACGGTTTCATATTTTTAATTTTATAATTTCTGCATGCCATCTTGGCAGATTTAAACTGATGATCTATAATCTGGAATCGTTGAAGTCCTGACGAGTCTGGATTAACGACTTTTGGATTATCGGTTTTTCCGGATTATAGATCATCAGTTTAAATCTGGTAAGATGGCATGCAGAAATTATAAAATAAAAAATATGAAACCGTAATTTATGAAATAAAAAGCAATTATGATCTAAAGGGTATCAAAATTTACATAAAAAAAAAAAAAAAAAAAAAAAAAAAAAAAAAAAAAGCTTAATATTTATTTGTTTACTTTATTAAACATTTCTTTCAATGTAAGTTGTTTAAGTTGCTTCGTTTTATGTGCTAATACTTTCTCTTGAATTCTATAAACAGACATAATTTCTTGTTCAGTTCCGCTGTTCAAGTCCTATAATTGCTGTGTTGAGAATACCGACTAATTTGTCAATCGAAAATTTTTCGTTTTCAATAACCTCTCTGTCACTTTCTTCACTATCGGAAGCGATATTTTCTGGATCTAGAACCATACTACAGATTTTGATTGGGGCATTGTCGTCACAAAGAAAAACTTCTGTTATATCATCTTCCTTTATTACCGCTTCTCCACATTTCTTTACAAAATCCAGTAACTGGAAATTTTCACCTTTAGTTTGCGATGTCTGAAAACCTTCAAATTCACGGCTATCATCTTCATCCTCCTCACCATGAAATATGGTGAGGCCATAAGTTATGCCATAAGTTTTTTAACGTACCTGGAGACACATCCTCCCACGATCTTGCGATGCTCCACACAGCAGATTTTATGCTAAAAAATTTCAAAATGTCTTGAATAGTCTTGCTACTGTTCAAGAAATTTAACATGGATTTTAAAACTGCTGCTTTATATTTGCATTTTAGCATGTGCACTATTCCCATATCCATAGGCTGAATGATAGACGTACAATTTGGAGGGAAGACTAATACGGATAAATTATCTTTCACTAAAACTTTAAGTGAAGCATGCGGCAAACAGTTTTTAACAATCAGGACCTTTTTTGAGTCATCAGGTAAACCAACCGAATTCAAATGTTGTCGAGCCTCGGGTATAAAGTGATTTTCAAACCAATCATTCATCAACACTTGTGTCATCCATGCTCTTTTATTTGCGTGATATATAACAGAGAAAATCGTTACTCCTTTAAACACTCGAGGTCCTGCATGTCGATTGCGAAAAGTTTGCACTTGTGCGTTCCTGCAGCATTTGTGCACGCTAAAATTGCTAGTCTCGCTTTGGAATCTTTGACACCAGTTGGAGCCTTTTCTGTAGAGGTTGCCAAGGTATTTCCTGATACATATTGCCAAAAAAGACCAGTTTCATGAGCATTGTAAATTTGTTCTGGAGATAATTGTTCACTAGTAATGAATTCATCTGTAAATTGTTCAGCAGCTTCAGTATCAGCTGAAATTTTTAATTGTCTTATACCATGGCAATTTTTAAATTTGGTTAACCAACCTTTCGAATATGTGCAATCTCTGTTAAAGTTAATTTCTTCATGAAATATCTTGGCTTGAGCCATTACCATTGGACCCGTCAATGACATGCCCTCGCTGCGACGCTGTCTGACCCATTCAATCATCACTTTTAGCATAACGAACCCTTTTTCTGTTATTCATTGCAAGTGGGGTGTCGGAATCCACAAAAAATCCAAAATGCTCTTTTTTCTCTTTGCTTATGTCATATACACTTGACTTTCCAATGTTATACTCTTTGCATAATTTTCAGACAGATATGCCTTTATCCATTTTTTGCAGCAATTCTACTTTTTTGTTTGATGGACATTGAAACATGCTTTCGCTTTGTAGATCCTTTGGCAGCTCCAGAATCGGAAATTCTATTTGACATAATCGAAAGTTCAAGCTTACTTTTATAAAATTGCTCTAACGGATTTGCTCTGCAAAAATTAAGATAAAAATTTTTTTGCAGAGCTAAGATAAAATTGCTCTGTAAAAAATAATAAGCCAGATCCAATTCGAAGATTAAGGAACAACACAATCTGCAACATTAACTGAAATAGATAATTTTAGCTTAGCTTATACCGTCTGTTATACATTAAACGCACATGCATAAACATATTATGCACATGCGTTTATGCATGCGCAGAAAGTTTGTAGCTTTGAGGTCCGGATTATAGATCATTCCGGATTAAGGACTTTTGACTGTATTAAATGATTTTTGATGACTTTTAGACAATATTGAATACAATAGCCATTTCATATAACATCATCATTAATCCATAGAGAATCATTATAATGAAAGTTTTCTATATTGATACATATCAGGTGAATCAGTTTAATTTTTGTTCTTTTCTCTTAACAGAGTGCTGCATACAGCGAAACTTAAATATTGGTATGAAATCTAACTAGATGGTGGCAGTTGTAATGATACATAAAGCTTCTTGAGAAGAATAGCTGTTTTATGTATAATGAATATATATAATGTTTAATGCACACAATATCAAGGATGCGCACATAGCTGTTTATATGGAAATTTCCCAAAAAAACAGTAATCTGTGTTTGCTTAAAAAAAGAAAAAAAATCAAAGCATTGCTCACAGCTTTTGCATTGTGGATATTAGATGTATATTAGTATTAAACATTACACGTGTTGTCATTGCACAGCTGTTTTATTATGGGATATAAATAGGCTACCACATTTGATGCTTTGGCACACATCTGGTATTTGGCAACCCATTAAAAAATTACCTAATTCTTTTTAAATATAGTTCCAGCAAAATTACAGGAATAAAGCAATGTAATTATTAGTGTGGTTAATACTTTTGATATAGGTATATGTTAAGAGCAATTTGAATTAGGCATGCTAATTAGATTAGGGTAATTGTTTAAGGCAAAGCATGCAATGGTGATCTGCTGAAGGGGAAGGGGCTTTTAGGGAGAACTTCCTATGGAAATTATCTTTCTATGGAAAACATATTCATACTATGAATGGGAGAAATTATAAATAATACACATGTGGCTATTCCATTCAAGGGATCTGAATCAAGTTAAAATTCAGCAGCTTTACCAACTTCGTGTTACAACATGCACTACTTACTAAAACTGTACAAGTTGCAGACCCATTGCATTTCACAGCTTGATAAAGCAAATAAAAATACAATTTGATGTTATTATTTTACCTGAAACTACTTCATGAGTTCAAAACCTTTTAATACTTTGGCTGATCTTTGGAATATGATAACAGGTAGTTTGGCGACATTTTGGTAAGGGGATAAAGGTTACTAGCTAGGACTTTAGCAGTGTACATGGATAAAGTCAAGAGTGTGTGCAATGCCGTTTTTGTGCAATTCTGGGATGTTTTTTTAAGTGAAAATAGGTCAACGCGTACATGATACCGTGTATGAGCAATTCTTAAAAACGCGGCAAGCAGTGGGCGATTCTGCACTTTCTCCCAATTTCGCACCTAATCTTTGTCATGATTAAGCACTTTTGTTCCATAAAAGTTCTAGCATAAGCGTAATTCAGCTAGCAGATTGTAGGAAAAAAAAATGTTGAGTTAAAAAAAAAAAAAAAAAAAAAAAAAAAAAAAAAAAAAAAAAAAAAAACATGCCTTTGCTTCGTGAAAACAAAATGGCGTCCAAACAAAAACTAGCAGGTTGCTGTAGCAGGGTTGGTCACCGAATTTTTGTCAAAAAATCGCCAAGTTACCATAATCCAAAAATTAACCAAGACTTTTAAAAAGTGGAGAGATTCAACATTTCAACAACTGCTTCTTAACAATAATAACAATTTTAAGCAAAATAGAAGCAATGTTCTACTTATAAATTAATGTGCGGGCTTTGTATTCATTTCACACATACATGCCTTGTATACTCAGAATATAAGCTATAACAGTTTTTCTCTTTGCTTCACCTCCACTAACGAAAACTGTAATTGTTACCAAAATAAATAAATAAAAGTTTCAAAGTTCTTGTTATTCTAAACTTTTTTTTAACATGGAACAAAGAATGGCTAAAGCGCAGAATCGCACACTTATTTGTTTGGTGCTTTTTACAAGAGTAAGAAGAATTGGATTTTTGTCAATTTTCTTTCACTTTTTAAGTGAAAATAGGTCGATGTGTACATGGATAAAGTCAAGGGAGTGCACAATGCCATTTTTGTGTAATTCTGGGATGTTTTTTTTAAGCAAAAATAGGTCGATGTGCACATGGATACCGAGTATGTGCAATTCTTAAAAGCGCTCCAAGCAGTGGGCGATTCTGCACTTTCTCCCAAAGAATTATTGTGGTTAATAAGTTTTAGAATTACGAAACACTTGAAATAAAGACAACATGAGAAAATTTCTTTATGAATCATGACAAAATACGAAAAAGGATGACACTGAGAAAGTTTTTCAAAATTAGGGGATACACAAATAATCCGCTATATAAGAATTTGGTATTACCTTTTTCTCTCTTCTCATTCGGCGTTACTTCTTCAAAGCCAAAGAAATGTGCTTGTTTGGTATATTGTGATTCATCAGTAGACATACATTTTTGATTCAGTATCTTATGCCAATTCCTTTGATTTGTTGTCGTAAAAAGTGTTTTACAGAATCTGTCTAAAATCGCTCGGCAGATCATTTTCTTCTTAGAAATGCCAGTAAAAGCGATACAAATATCGTCTGCTTCTCCAACGCGGTTAAGGTTTTAAGCTCACGGTCAAATAATTTGTTACTGGCTGGCATGTATTGTCAATAGTTTCTTATACGTATATGCGTATATATATATATATGTATATATATATATATGTATCTATATATATATGAGAGAGAGAGAGGGAATCCTAATATTACTTAATCCCTTTTTATAAGAAAGTTAAAAACTAATAAGCACATACATATAATTTTTTTTTTTTTTTTGCTTTCGTTGAACCGAGCCAATCGTTTGCGCGTATTCAGGGTGGAACATTTAAATTCTATAGCTGACGCATTTCCAATATACGTCTTAAAATGTAGTTTACGTTTTTAGAAATAAAGTTAGGAAATTTTATATTTCAGTTATTTCAATGGTAATGAAAGAATCTTGCTCATCATTCTCTGAATTACGTTTGACATAATTTATAATGATTCATGTACGATGTTCATCATTAAATTCTCTTTCACTAATTGTAAATTCTGTTGTTGTTGTGAAGACATTTTTTTCATTAGTAATATGAATTCATGCAATATTCTGAAGTGAATATGTGATAATTTTATTTTAAAAAGATCAAATTAAAAAGTGTATTTTATGATTAACTCTACTCAATACGTAAAAATTATTTTCCTTAGAAAAATGCCTTTACCAAATGTTAAAACAACTTACGTTCGGCCTATTTGTGGATATACTGAAGATCATAATGTATTCACGGAATTATCTTCACCGGTGAGCATCTGACTTATCTATTTTATTTAAGTAAATTCTTTAGCAACAGTCAAAGTTTTAATGTTTGTAAATGTTGTCTGTATTATTTCAGTATTTCATTTTTAATTGTTAATTAAAGTAGTTGCTTTAAGATGAATTTATTAGAATAAGAGGAGAGTAAGCGTGTAATAAAGGGTGGCTAATCTCACATACATTGAAACAGCTTCATATTTTCTGTGTTTTCCTGTTTTATCACACACCTTTTCGAGTACAGGAATGTATTTAACATGTTATCTGTTACTTGTTTGAATAAGAGTGTAATGAAGGGTGGGTAATCTCACATACATTGAAACAGCTTCATATTTTCTGTGTTTTCTTGTTTTATCACACACATTTTCGAATACAGGAATGTATTTAACAGGTTATCTGTTACTTGTTTAAAATGCTTTTGGTATAAATATACCAAAAAGCATTTGACTACAAGCATTTGGATTAAGGAAAATGCAAAAAAGCATTTGAAAATAAGCATTTGACTACAAGCATTTGGATTAAGGAAAAGTCTAAAAGCATAAAGCTTTGGCACAGATTCGCCGTTCGCTCATTGAAATGAATTAGTTCTTTTTAACGATTCACTGCTCACTTATAAGAAAAGTAACAATCTGGCCAATATTTACATTTTTACAATCTATGGATATTGTTCCGTGAAATGATAGTTAAATATAAAGGCATATAAATTCATGTGTACTGAGATGTATGTATTTCAAAATATGTAAAAAAATAGCAATTCTACTGAATACTGAAACCAGAACTGTAGATAATCAGAAAAAGTAGTGGTAAAAGTATAGTTTAGGGCACCGCTTGGCGAATTTTGGTGGTACATGGATACCAATTTTGTGCAATTCTTTAACTCATTACTTTGGCTGGCGAAGCTGTGATTTTTGCGCCCAAAATCGCCGCTACACAAAGCCAAAATAACAAGACAAACAATTGCACAAACTCGGTATCCATGTACACATCGACTTATTTTAACTTTAAAAAAAATCCTCGAATTGCACAAAAATGGCATTGTGCACTCTTTTAACTTTATCCATGTATACGTCGACCTATTTTCACTTAAAAAAAAATCCCAGAATTGCACAAACTTGCATTGCGCACTCCCTTTACTTTGTCCATGTACACATCGATATATTTTCACTTAAAAAGTCAAAGGAGCACCAAATTCTACAATATAAACAAACAAAAAATACATAATCTCAATAAAATACATTTTAAACCAAACAATAAAATAACATAAAAAAGGAAAAAACATGTTATACATTTAAGCATTACCAAAAGCAAATACAGTTAAAAGTCGTTAATTCGGACACCCGTAATCCGGATCTATAATCCGGACCTCAAAGCTACACACTTTCTGCGCATGCGTCGCTTCGACGCATGCGCGTAAGACCTTTACGGCTGCGAATTAGTGTGTGCGCGTGCGCAAAATATGTTTACGAATGCGCATTTAATGTATAACGGACGGGATAAGCTAAGCTAAAATTATTTAATTATCTATTTCAGTTAATGTTGCAGATTGCGTTGTTCCTTAATCTTCGAATTGGATCCGGATTATTATGTTTTGCAGACTGTTAGAGCAATTTTATAAAAGTAAGCTTGAACTTTTGATTATGTCAAATAGAATTTCCTATATATATTTACTAATATGTAAAGGATATACAAAGCGAAAGTATCTTTCGGAGTCCATTAAACAAAAAGTGGAATTGCTGCAAAAAATGGATAAAGGCATATCCTTTGTTTATCTAAACTTTAACGTTTGTTTATCTTTAACGCCGTAACGGCGTGCAATGAATTGGAAGTTGATCTGTCAGGACTACCTTATCTTAAGGGCAGATGTTTTTATTTTATTTGGCTTATAATTGCTTACTCAATGTAGTATTTCATCTCGATGTACTCCGTCTTTGATATGATTTAAATCAAATGCCTCGTCATTATAATTCGCTTCCGATAGCGAAGAAAGTGACAGAGGTTATTGAAAACGAAAAAATTTCGATTGACAAATTAGTCGGTATTCTCGACACAGCAATTATAGGATTTGAACAGCGGAACTTTGTAACTGAACAAGAAATTATTAATTAAAATTAAAGAGAATGTATTATCACATAAAAAACGAAGCAACTTAAACAACTTACATTGAAAGAAATGTTTAATAAAGTAACCAAATAAATATTAAGCTTCTTTTTTGTAAATTTTGATACCCTTTAGGTCATAATTGTTCTTTATTTTGTAAATTACGGTTTCATATTTTTAATTTTATAATTTCTGCATGCCATTTTACCAGATTTAAACTGATGATCTATAATCCGGAATCTTCGAAGTCCCGACGAGTCCGGATTAACGACTTTTGACTGTATTCATTTACCATAATTTTCGAGTTCGCTTCGTACACCCAGAACCACGTAAAAATCAAAATATCAATCATACTCAAATGACTTTTTTCAAACCAGGTACTCTTTCTGATCGAACACTTCACATAGTGACCATCTGAACCTTTCTTCCTACAAACCCATTCAAATCCATCTAAATGGTTTTTACGTTCGACTAGACGCATATCCTTTCTACGTACAGGATACTTATAATGGCTACTAAGTAAACCTTCATTCACACACCACTCAGTTAAAGCTCTTTTCCCCTTTCGTTCCAAAATCTTACAGAAACTTCAAATTAATCTTACTATATTCGGCCATTCTACCATCTAAAGAATCAAACCAGCACACACCACAAAAACGCTTACAAAACATCCCATGATTCAAAATTTCCCAGAATCATGCACCCGATTAATCACAATAGGGTTTCCATAACATTCAACTATTCAGGCTACCATAAATGAAACAACAGCTTGGCGATAAATCAAACAACTTCACCATAATACAAAGGGTACCTTAAAGTCTACTCTACCCAACGTAGTTAATGTATTATCTCAAACATCTGAGCTAAAGTGTCGCAATTTTCAGAATGTGCCAAATCTGGCAACCATGTGCGTAGCCATTCTTCAGGCAATCGTGTTCATAACAGCTCTCCTGTGCAAAAACCGCATTTTTGGAGATATTTTAGGCTTAAAGTTCGAAATGTAGACAGAAAATTTAGATAGTAATATGGCAGCATGGACTTCCTCGAAAAAAAAGTTTGGCAAGAAATTTGTCGCTGCATTTGCCGACCTGAGGGCACATATAAGAGTAGTTCCGTGAATCCTATTGGGTTGAAAACTCTCTGCATAATTGATAGTACGTTTCATCTTGTTACTCAGAGATCAATCAAGTCGTTATTAGGGATGTCACAAAACAATGAATCTTCATAGTTATTCCACAGAAGACCAACTACTTTGAAAGGTTCACTCATTATAAGTTTTTCACTGCTCATTTCTGTTTGTTCCCATTCTGTTAAGTTATCACTTACTATTAACTGAGTTGATTTTGCAATAAAGTATTCTTCATTCTAACTCGCTGAATTGACACAGTTGCCAACATAGAAGGAATTTTTCAGTTTTATAGCCACTTCTTTCAAAGAAAGTTCACATTGGTCTAAATGAGAATTTATCACTGCTCTTAAAAGAAACTGACTGCATTTTAGTCTGAAAACTATTCTGCAATGGCGAAATTTTCTCATAAATTCGTGCAAATGCAGTAATGCTTGAAAAACATTTCAGTCTGTGCGAATATGAGAGGCACATTGGAATTTTTTTTTCCCATGTATAAAAAAATTATTCCAAAAATAAATGAAAAAGGGTACTCACACGTCATACTGAGACTTTTTATGCAAATCAAGCAAACACAAACAGACAGTGAGACAGATCACTATGACATGGCACTGTTCATTTATTTTAAAGTAAAAGATGTTCAACATGATCACCAGAAAAATGCCACCTGTCAGATGGCATCTTTAGCTCTACCAAGTGGCTTCCAAGCAAGTGGCTGTAGCGGTCTGTACATGTGAAACGTTCAGTATCCCAACCAAAAATCTGCCAGGCTCAAGTCTGGTGATCATGATCATAACTTACAACCTCGACTTATGATTCGATCTTCAGTGAAATATTCCAACAAAAAAGTGCTGTCTTCTCGTACAGTGTATGGCATATCATCATTCCACAAAATGTGGTGACGAGTAACGCATGTCTTTCCTGTACACAATGCACACACAATGTGGTCACACAAAAGTGTAACATATCATTCTGCAGTGACTGTGCAGGTTTTCTGGCAGGATATAGGACAGTGCTTTTCAAAAGAAAGAATGCTTTTAAGAATGCTTTTAAAGAAAGGCCCAGAATGAAGGACGTGGTGAGCCACACTAAACAATCGCATGAGGAGAATGCTGTGGCTTGGTCAAGTAGTCAGGAGGGTTTGACATTGCATTTGTTTTGCATATTGACGTCACTCTACAGTGATTTCATCTGTCTACATGACATTCAGCAACCATTATTAGTCACATTCCATTTGTGCCTGTGTGCGAGTAGCAAAGATTTGTCTTGCTACATGAGTGCAAAGTTTTGCTAGCCATAACTGGTGAAATGTAGCAAAGTTTTGCCAGCAGTATCGACAATGTTCAAGGAGCAATCGTCCACGCTTCAAGGATGGTCTTCTATTTGATAGACAATCATGCAAATACTCCATTTCCTCAAAACTTTGTACAGTACAAAGTCCGTAATCCAGACGTCCATTATCCAGAATGATCTATAATCCGGACTTCAAAAGCCACAAACTTTACGCATGCGTAGAGAATGCACATACATAAAGCATATGCACATTGAAAGAAATGTTTAATGAAGTAAACAAATAAATATTAAGCCTTTTTTTTTTTTTTGCAAAATTTGATACTCTTTAGATAATAATTGCTTTTTATTTCATAAATTACGGTTTCATATTTTTAATAGTATAATTTCTGCATGCCATCTTACAAGATTTAAATTGATGATCTATTATTCAGAAAAAACCCTAATCCGGAATCGAAGTCCCGACGAATCCTGATTACGGACTTTGTACTGTAAATTCAGTACTGCATTCAATGAAATTTTTTGCATCTCCAGTCCTTTTTTTCATGCAAAACTTTCACGATGCAATACTTGCAGATTCGCCATACTTGTAGAAAAGTTTAACCACTAATGCTCGATCTGGTAATGATAGCATGTTGCCGGTTATCAAATGACAAATCAATTGATGTGTTGATATGTGAGTAACAAGTCTAGCATTCAGCCTGGGAAAATAGAGCTCTTGCAAGGTTGATGAAATAATGCCAAGAAATGGAGCATGGCAAGTGCAGGTTCATAATAAGTAAAATTAGAAATAAGGACAAATATGTTGCAGAGTTGCGGAGTAAATTGTAATGCAGTGCTAAATGAGAATAAGGTGAGAAGAGCATGTGAGTATGAATGTGGTGTCAAAATGGGAAACACAAGTGGTGTGGTGAGCGAATGAAAATTATAAAAGTGCAGAAATTGCAGTACAAGATTGCAAAAAAGGAAAATCCAATACAGAAAGCATGAAATTACAGATAATACAGTATGTGCAGATATAATGAAGATACAGGTGCTATGACAACACAGATAAAGCTAAAATATTTGATTAAATGAAAAGCAAAGAAACAAAATTTTGAACCAGTACTATGTATATAAAAGGAAATGTAGGTAGCCAGTACTATGTAGTACTTAATATGGAGATATGAAGTAAAGTGAATGACTGGAATGAAGTGTACAAAGAATGAGAAAATTGAATTAAGGGGGTGCACAAGCTGAAATGAGAAATAGAAAAAGCTCATACCCTCAGTCATCTGATCTGTAAATATCTATACTTGAAGAGATGGGTGGTGTAATGATGCAGGCTGTAGTCATCTTCAAGAATTTTGTAACAGAAAACATTTTTTTAGTTCACTTTCTCACTGGTGACAGTTTTAGAGAAGAAGTTTTAGTTCTGCCTGAGAATGAAATCTTTAATGCTTTCTATATTGAGGTCTTTTTGGGTACCTTCATTTCGCAGAAAGTAGGGAGCTTTGGTGATCATCCTTAGAATTCTGTTTTGAAGTAAGTGGATCTTGTTTAAGTTATTACTGGTGTTTCAAGCAGGAGAAGCATAGCTACAAATAAGATGGATGATAACTTTATAATATGGGGTTTTCTTCTTGAGAGAAAGAACAGAATTACTGATGAGGAGAGGCTTGAGGGAATTTAAAATACCACAGGCTTTACTGAGGATTTTATTAGTGTGATTGTTGCAATTAAGTTTGTTATAAATGATAATGCCTAGAATATTTTGCTTGGCAGTCTATTGGAAGTATAACATTGAAGAGCTTAAGACATGATATAGCTTTCCTTTTCTTTTTGTGACAAGGCTCAATGATCAGAATATTTATCAGAACTGATGTAGACTTTCCAGTTCGCACACCATTCTTCAATGCTGCTTGAGTAGTTCTGGAGTTGCTTGATTGCATGGTTGGTGTTAAGTGAACTGTACTAGTGGTGTCATCAGCATAATATGCAAGAAGGCTGTTATTTCTAGGGCCAGGTTTTGGGAAGTCGGAAGCATAGAAGAGGTACAGGACTGGCCCTAGAACTATGCTTGCCAGACGTCCCAGTTTTCAGACAAAATCCCGGTGTCCTGGCCGGTTTACTTCACATCCTGGTAAAAATTAAATTTGGTTTGTTAGATGACCAAAAAAGTCTAAAAATAATTAACTGTGAAGGATTATTTAGGATAATTACTTTGTCATTTATTTCTGTACTCTATGAATAGTGAAAACGGCGCTTACATATTAACGCCACTGCAGCAGAAGTTGCCCTGATGCGCCAATAAAGAGCAATCCTGTTGTTCGCATGCAGTTATCTTTTGGATTCCTTTTTGCCTGGTTGTTTGCTGATTTTTGACACCATTTTTTAGTGCTACAAAAATTTGTCTTTGGGATTTGACAAACACAAAAGAAGATGGCAATTTTATTTTTTCAAAAGTGAAATATTTAAAAAAAAAAAAAAAAGTACCAATTCACATGATATGAAACTTTATTTTGATAAACGTATGCTTTAGAAATGTACATTTTGGAAATGCAGTTTAAGAGAGTGTGATCAGCAAGTGGGACTTACAAAAGGCAATTTGAAGGAAGCAGAATTCCATTTTGCTCAGCTCTGAGATTCATATACTGCTGGTTGATAGATATGAGATTCATATCTATGTTAAACTCTATGTCGGCCCATTTTCCATCAAAATCCGATTGACTACTTTGATTTTAAATAAAGTGCTTTAGTTTATGATTTGTCGCAAAAATGTTAGGTGTAGATTGGCGACACTTAAAAACTGCCAAATCTGCAGCTGCGGTTGCGTTAACACGTAAGTACCGTGAAAACTATAGCAGAGTGATGTTATGCTTATAAATAATATTGTCCTGTCTCGCCAATCGTGACCATGTGCAATACGAGAGGTTCTCACGGCGGGGCCAATATTGGGCACTAGAGCTTTACCGCCAGAAGAGACTTTGTTACACACTACACCTCCTCTTGTGTAATAACATTGGACTCGGCCAAAGAACCTCTAAGGAGATCCTTAGCCTCGGCGCTAGCCGCTTGCGATAAAAATCAGTCAGTCAACTGTCCGGTGTTCCGGTTAAACATTTCAGAAATTTGGCAAGCCTATCTAAAACTGATTCTTGTTGCTCACCTTCTTTTACTTGGATTGTATAGAAATGATAGACACAATGGTTCTCACAATGAAACTATTACACTGTGTGAAGGAAAAACAAGTGAAATAGACACAAGGGGGTATGAGCTACTCAGAATGCATAGATGGAGCTGGCTGCAAGCGAACGGTATAAGTCAGAACCCGTCCTTTTCGCCATCCCCATTGAGAGTGTGGAAGCAGTGATGGAAGGGGATTATCACGGTCAGTGTTGTACAGCATGGTTCCTATGGAAGGAAGGGATACTGGGTAGTGAGATCCATTGTCATATGGTGTCGCTGTGCGGGAACAAAGCACCCTCAAGGCATACTGTATCCCGTTGGTTGGCCGAAGTTCGGCAGTGGAGAGGAGACCGCAACTAAAGGTGTCAGCGTGAGATGACCAGCAACATCACTTACAGCAGCAAATGTAGCAGCCATGTCGGATTTGATCATGGCGAACAGGCACATAACGTTCAACAAGATGCATCAAGAGACAGGGCTTGCACAAGGAACATTGCAGGCGATTGTGCATGGTGATTTGGAGATGACAAATGTGTGTGAAAAATGAATGGACCTTGGACCTTAAACCAAGGCTTCGGACTGCACCTTGCGTGACAACATGAAGGACACAGTCATGAGGGGCCAACATGTTGAATCTTCTGTCGAATTGCATGCAATTAATTGTCCATAGGTGATGCACTAACACCCTCACAGACTGGTTTACCAAAGCCCTTCGGGACCTCTAGCCAGATGGCAGAAGTGTATTGACAAGGGTGGGGATTATTTCTAATTGATGTACTATCGGGTTTTTGTTAATAAATTGTATTCCACTCTGTGGCAGTATTTGTGTCATTCATTTCTGTATGACCTAAATATGTTCCACATGGTTACGAAGGCCTGTTTTTGCCTTGCAGAGAAAGTTCTACATTTGAAGAATGAATGAAGGATGAGGATGATCTCTTTAGAGAATTTGTTGTTTGCTTATGCTCTCATGCCAGATGTGGTCAAAAATGACGAATCCATTTCCAACCAGGTGTTTTATTGCTAGCTTGATTTGCATAAAACATCTTAGTATGATGTGTGAACACCTCTTTTGATTACTTTTGAAACCTTATTATTATTATTTTTTTTACATGACCTTTTAAAGGGTGACTGGGGAGTAGGGTACTCGGTCGCCAAAACCTGGTGGTGACGAATTATCATCCACTACCTAGTTCAGGCACCACTTGTAGAGTCAGTAGTTTTTTTTTTAAAGCAGGAGATGTGAAAAATGGGCAATACCCTCATCGGGACTCAAACCCTAGACCTCTCGAATACGCATCGAGTATACTTCTTATTACACCAGGAAGGCATGCAGAAAGAAGGGAGAAAATATCTTAGAAAATTTGCAGTAAAAAGTAAAGGATAAAACTGAAATTCTTTTCTTAGTATTCATTTGCATTATAAAATTTAATATCAACACGTTTATTCATAAAGTATTTTAATATGTGTATCATACTTTTTCATTTCAATGAGTACTTTTTTTCAGCAGTTTGATTTGGCAGGAAACACTGTCACTGATGGTAAGTTACCTGACTTCTATAGTGCAGTATTTCTTGTTTTCCATTGTTAGTTTAGCATTTTTATATGCAATTTCTTAAATTAAAGGCTGTATTTAATCTTACTGCCTAAAAATCAAAAAGTGTTCTTTCTATGTAATTAATTAATTATTCATAATTTTAAAACAAATATTCATTTTTAAAAAATAATAATTGGTTAGAATTTGTTTAAAATTGTTAGGTCTAAGCTAAACATGTTCTACAGGAACATTAAGAACTTAACAAGTGTATTATGTATTCATTGTGAAATGCCCTGAAGAAGATAAATGCAGTCACTGAGGCTGTTTTGAGCAAGCTTAGCAAATTGCATCTTGCATATCTATGTAAATTAAATACTGAGGTCATTTTATAACACTATATAATTCATTTCCTCCCCCCTCTTCTTCATAGCAGGTATAATAGTAACACATAAACTAGAAGGACAAATCTAATTTTTATTAATTACCAAATAGCAGGAGATCTTATAATCCACAACAACTTTTTAGTATTAGAACTGTTAGTTAACTAATTTGCAACAGAACATTTGATAACTATATATCTTAATTATGACAAAGCAGCAGAAGGGTGCTTTAACACTTTCCAGCAGACTACCATTTAAAGTTTTTTGATAAAAAAAAAAAAAAAATGGTAGGCAGTCTAATTAGGCCTACAGGAGTACACAAGCATCATTTTGTGAAGATAGCACGTATCGTTTTAATTCTATGGCTGTACCTGAAGTGGCACACTGATTGAATAGAGCTTCGAAAAGAGTGCTGAAACGAGCATTGTTGTCAATGAACTGACCGAAGAAACAAAGAATACAGACTCTCAGTTGTCCTAGATTATCAGTGAGCCCTGTCTGGGCACACCTAGGGTTCGCCATTTAATTTTAGGCAAGATTTCAAGGTGAAAATTTAAAACTAATATAGAATGAGGAGATTAGCATACAGCCCAAAAAATAACATAGAAATTTCTTTTCAAACAATTCCTTTTACACCCTAAAAAAAATCTGGAAAATTTCTTTGAAAAATGATGGTCTTAAAAAACTAAACATGGCTAAAATATATGGACTGGTTTGTGTTGAACTGCCATTCAGTTTTTCTGTGTGTACAGAAGGAAATTTTTAGGTGTATCCAGACCGGACACACTGTGCCGCAAAGGGTTAAGGGGGGCCTTCCTAAGGGAAATCGGCTCATAGTTACAGTTGATTACAGTGGAACAGACCATGAAACCCCCATGCAGTTGACTATCAAGCATTGGGATCTGAATCTATTACCAACCCAAAGGGAGTTTGTGCAGGTAATTCTTAATTTGTTTTGACATAAATAACTAATTCAATTCAAGCTTATCTAATTGGGTAAAATCTTTTATCAAGGTATAGATTTTAACAAAATTTCAGCCATCATTCATGTTTTAAGTTATTAAAGTTAATGAATACTTGTCAGTTTTACCATGTCCAGAGCACCATAGAAAAACTGTTCCCAAGTTTAGGCATCATACCAGAAGTAAAAAGAGGGAAAAACCGCTTCTAAATGATGAATTTTAAAATACATGTACTTTAAAAAAAATATTTTGCAAAATATTAATTCCTACTTTAAGAAAAGTTGTAATTTTTTTTTTCAAATAATAATAAATTTTTTCTGACCAACATTATATAAATCTTAACCATATCAAAAACGTTATTTTTGAAGCAACAAACCAGTTGCTAACACCTTACTTTTCCTGGGAAATCTTCACATTGCATTTTCATTTGGTTTCTATGGTGGTATTTAACTTCATTTCATACCTGTTGTTGCTTATTTAGTGTAGATTAAAATACCTTTTTGATGGAAAAATGCAATCGTTTCATTTGCATTTGATAGTAAATTGAAAATTATCATCGTTTTGAATGTGAAAAGGGGAAAGAGATTTCGTTATGAGTGGGAAAAGAAGATGATTTCACAGTTGTCATTATTTAGTTATGATTTTGAATTTGCTATGTTATTTGATGATGAATGTCACCAAATTTTGTGATTATTGACTTGTGAATGTAAAACAAACAAGCACCAATTATTATATTCCAGCTAAATTTCTCTTAACTTTATTAACAATTTTATAGTTCTTTTAATTTTATGAATTTGGTGATTTCCCACTTGTATTCATATTCACATGATTAATACGACTATAGAACAGCTGTAATTTATGCATTATTGATGAAGTGCATGTTTATAATTTGTTAACTTAAATAAAATAGTTTTTTGTTATATTTTTCTTGAAAGGAAGATAGCCTGGTGTTAAATAAAACATCATAATTATGCCATTTAATCTGCATTTTTAATAAATGGCTTAAATTTATTAAATTCAATTTTATTAAAATGCTGTTAAATGTATTTATATGCATAATTTTATTTAATTAAAATTTTATTTTTTATGAAATGATTGTATTTTTTTACAAAATACATTAAATGCATAACTACATGGTTATAGTTATGCATTTAACGTGTAATGATATAATGATAACTTGACAAACTAACAAAGGAATTTATTTAGGTTATTATGACAGAGCCAATCAATCTCTGACACCTATATGTGAAGCCAAGCAAAAATATGTTGATAAATTAAATTTAGAACATATAAGCTTATTTTCTAAAGTAGAGCAAATTGAAAAATTGATGACTTGTATGCAGCTGGATTCCAAACAGAAGGTAAAATGTATTTTTATGTGAAAACTTATTTTAATTATTTTTTCTGATATTTGAAAGAGATGATGGTTTAAGTCAGCGATTCTCAACTGGTGGTGCGCAAGAGAATAATAGGTGGTATGCAAAGAAACAAAGTATTTAACTAGTAAATTCAAAAATTAAATGCCCAACATCCTATTTAAGTTTTTTCTCTAACAATCGTAACTTTATGTGATCTGAGCTTTGTTCAAGGTCAGTAGCCGTTCAAAGACTTTAGCAAAATAATCCCCCTTTTTTTTCACAAATATTCTTTGTCTATGCTTTATGTCGCCACTATTTCCGGGCTCATACTGCTCTATTTTCAATTAGAATCATTTTTTATGCCTATTTGCTGTCTCTAACAGCAGGTAATTTGTCTTCTTATTGCTTCATATTCCTTATTTTTCTATGCAATTTGGGAGTATCGTCGTTTGATTTTGAAGAACTCGTAATATATTGTGCATTTAAATATTTCTGGGATCCAGGAAAATCTACTAGCATTATGAATATTGAAAAGAAAAGAAAAATTGTTTATTGAAAATATAATGAAATTCATTTATCATCTGGGTTTACTTGGAATGGAGATGAAGTAGATCCTCAACCTCAATGTGTCGATTGTTCAACCTCAGTTCAAACTATCTATTATCCAATCAAAATAAACCATCATTTCTTAAAAGACAGCTTAAATCTAAGCATGCAAATTTAAATGTTAAAATCTGAATAACATTTTAAGAGGAAATTATTAGTTCAAAAATAGTAAACAAGTTAATGAAAGCTTTTGTTACTTCAAGTGAAAAAGCTTTGGAAACTAGTTACCTAGTAAGCAAAAGAATTGCCAAGACTGGGCAGGCTCACACTCTTGCAGAAAACATATTACCATCAGTTAAAGATATCATTTAAGCTTTATTCAATGAAAAAATGGCTAATAAACTTAATAATATTCCTTTATCAAATGATGTATGAATCAACGAAGTTGACAAATTCATGAAATGGTAAATTCCATAAAAGAGACACTTATTCAAAAAATAACACACAATGAGTTTTTCACATTGCAACTTTGTTCAGTTATAGTTTACATACCTTTTGATGAAGATAAATGAATAGCTGAAGAGTATTTATTTTGTGAATCTGTTCATGATAGAGCAACTGCAAATGAAATTTTAAAAGTAATTGACTGAAAATGGTATTCCTTGGAATAAGTGCATTGCCATATGCAGTGATAAAGCTTGGGTTTAACAGTAAAATATTCTGGTGTTATTTCTCATATAAACAAAGTCGCAGCTGAAGCTGAATTTACTCGTGGACCCATTCATCATAAAGCTTTAGTACCCAAAAAAATCCCCCAAAACCTAAAAATCGTTTTGAAGCAAGCTGTGAAAATTGTAAATTTTATTAAAAGCCGACTTTTAAATTCAAGAATATTTACAATTTTATGCCATGAGATGGGCAATGAACATGAACCTCTTTTGTTACATTCCAAAGTAAGGTGATTATCCAGAGGCAAAGTTTTTAAATCGTCTTTTTGAAACTCGATCAGAAATTCAAATTTTTCTCTGTGATTCAATATTTGAATTATTAAGATGTTTATTTAGTGAATTATGGTTGGCACGTTTAGCAAATTCAGCTAATATTTTTGGAAAGTTAAATGAATTGAATTTAGGATTACAAGTACAAAGTGTTAATTTGTTTACCATTACAGATAAAATAAATGCAATGATAAAAAACTCAAGCTAATAATCAAAGAATTGGTTAATAATACTTTAAGCTTTTTAGCACTTTTAGAAAGTTTCCTAACTAAAAATAAAAGAAGAATTAGCATCCAACATTAAAAAATCATTATTTTTCATTGATAAATAATTTCAACATGTATTTTCAGGAGCATTATCAAAAAGAGACTCGGATTAGAAATCCATTTTGTTCAAATATACCTGAAATTTTATCTCGTGAAGGAAAAGAACAATTGAAAGAAATTTCCTGTGATCGAACTCGAACTCTAACTGAAATTTCAAAAATAACAGACTTGTTAACTTTTCGCTGAATCGAAAAAATGAATTTAAAGACATTTCAAATAAAAGCTATTAAATTTTTATTGTTGTTTTACCCAACCAAATTGTGTGAACAAGGGTTTTCTTCCTTATTATATTTGAAAAATAAATACAGAACAAAATTAAAAGTGAATACTAATTTGCGGTTAAAACCTAAGTGAAACATGACCAAACATAAAGAAATTGATCTCTCTTAAACAGCCCCAAATGGTAAAAATATATTTATGGGTGTCCCTTGGCGAGTTTTGGCAGTACATGGACACTGGCAATTTCTGTGCCAAAAATAGCTGCTACACAAAACCAAAGTAGCAAGTCAAACAATTGCACAAACTCGGTATCCATGTATACATCGACCTATTTTCATTTCAAAAAACATCAGAGAAATGCACAAACTTGGCATTTCGCACTCTGTTGACTTTGTCCGTGTACACATCGATCTATTTTCACTTTCAAAATCAAAGAAGCAGCTAATTATTCACTAGAGCCAAACAAAAAATATATAATCTCAATAAACTACGTTTTAAATGAAATGATGAAATAACATAAAAAAAGGAAATGCATCTTCACACTACACAAAGGAAATATCCACTTTACCTCATTTAGAAATTTTCGTGTCTTCAGTCAAACAAAAAATTCCTTAACGACATCCAAAAACTTCCTAAAATTATCTTAACTAGAATGTGTATACTGGCATCGCCACATAAATTCACAAAAGAGTAAAAAATATCCTTTTAGTGCCGGTACTCCGACATTCCACCATATGCATTTCCTTCATACAAACAGGATGCTTATAATGTAAGTAAACCATTTACACACCAGCCAATGCTTTTTTTTCCTTTTGTTCCAAATCATACAGAAACTTCAAATTAATCTTACCACATTCATCCAATTTCGCATGTAAACCACAAAATAACCTACGTAATTCCTAACCAACATCCAACACACAAACAACCCTTAAAGATCTTTTTCCATCAATCAAATTCACCGCAATCATGCAACCAATTACGTCATAATAGGGTTTCCATAACATTTAACTACTCAAGTTTACCATAAATGAAACAAGAACTTGACGATAAATGAAACAACTTAGCAATAATCCAAGGCACACCCTTAAAAATTCTATAACTGCAAAAATTTCACACTAAATTTTGGAATTTATTATAACTTAAATTTTGATGATTAAAATGGTAATAAATTTTTAACCTTATTTTTTTATGTGTGCATATTTATTACAAATAGCCAATAGGTTTTGCAAATGGCAAAATGTCATCTTTTTTAATGGCCTTGCGCTTTATTTAATAGCCTATTAGCATTGTGCCTCTACAAGTGGCCAGAAGTGGTGGCGATTTCATTATGGAAGCATCTAATAGGTGGCCACCATTGTCTCCTGTGAAAAGGCGGACAATTCCAGTCAGGCCTTCTCCGAAATTCAAACCTGGGCACATCGCTGTGGTAGTCAGGATCACTAATTACTATACCGGCTAGGCAGTTGCTTTTTTTTAATATATTATATAATTTCTATTGAGAAACTGAAAAATAATCTGTAAAATGTAATGGTGGTACTAAAGTTTTTCAGTTTTTGTTTAGATGGTACGTGTTAGTCAAAAGGTTGAGGTTATTGTTCCTAATTTCTAACTGTTTTTATAAAAATTAGTTATTATTCCTAATTTCTATAAAATTATTCAAAAAAACATCTTTCACTGGCGAATTCCATTTCAAAGTCATAAAAATCTTTCAGTTCCAGTTAACGATCTCAGTTGCAGTCCATCTTTACTCTCAGGTTTTAAGGAAATTATTTCATAATTGTTTTCATTTTTCATCAATACAGGTTACCAGTAGTTTGGCTTCCTTCCTCTCATTCTTATCACCTTCGTTTCTTCCATCATTTGTACTTCTGCAGATAAAGAAGAAGGTTGTATATTTAAACTTCCGAAACCAATCCCTGCAAATTTATGAATATTATGGATTCTTGTTTCTTTAACTTTTCTAATCATTATTCAGCATGCTATTTTAACTCAAATTTAGGAGAGAACTATTTGAAAAAACTAGGTAAATGTTCCTTTAGTCACCATTTTTTATGTAATATACTGAAGTTTGTTTTCATTATAAAAATAATGTGTATGTTTCTAAAAAAACAGAGTTGTTAAAAAAATTGGTTTAAAAAAAAAGACAAAAAAAGTTGAGCAGTGTTTCAGCTCATTGATTCAATGCTATTGTTTGCCTACATTCTGATTAATTCAAACTTTAGTGAACCGAAGCTGTTAATGAGGATTTTACTGCATTATTCAGTTTTCATATAGTTTCATAAATATTCATGTAGTTTTCAAAATTAAATTTCAAGATTCAGATATAAAAAATGTGAAGGTTTAATTTACTTACTCAAATAACCTTATCAATATTCTTCTGATAGTGTTAAAAATTATAAATATTACCTCCCTAAATTTGCAAAAGTTTAAACTGCCTGTATTCTAGTCCAGTTTAACATGGAAAAATAAATTGAATTTAGAATGACAATCAAAGAAAAGGACCTGAAAATTTTAAATGCAGTGAAGAACTAAATGTATTGTAAAGCCTGTTAGATGATTTTTATAACATAAAAATTATTTTTGTTTTTAATGACTTTCTGTTCAGCATATTCATGCAAATTTTTTTTATCCATCAATTTCCTTCCCCCCCTAAATTCAGGAAAGTTTTTAAAAAGTTATAATTTAAAAATTTTTTAGTTTGGTACTAATTTAGGAAAATTATTATCACTTTTTAACATTCATCTAAAAATGTACATCAGTTATTCAAGAAGTTATCTTTTTACATTTTTTCCCTCCTTTTGCAGACCCAATTTTTCTAAAATGTTTTTCTTCATAAATTTTTATAATGACAATACACTATTCCAAAGGAATTTTTCAATATTCATATAAATTTTGTTCTATTTAAAAATTAATT